AGCTGGTGGCTCATGCCTGTAATTCCAGCTACATAGGAGGCTGAGATCTGAGGATTGGGCAGGAAAGTCTTTGAGACTCTATCTCCAATTAGCCACCAAAAAAGCTGGAAGAACTGGCTTAAGTGGTACAGTGCCAGTCTTTGAATGGAAAAGCTTAAGGGACAGCATTCAGGCCCTGAGTTCAAGCCCCAGTACTGCCACAAAAAAAGCAAAAAGGCAAAGGCACATGGCTCTGGTGATGGTGGCTCTGGCCAAAGCTCTGGCAGGGATGGCAGGAGGGATGAGCTTGGAGCACCCATAGCAGGGCCGGTCACAGTGCTCTCCCCAAGGCGGCTGCCGGCTCCCTGCTGATGGACAAGCAGGGACCCGGGGCCTGGGGCCTTCAACTTAGAAGCTGCTGCTGCTGTGACTGCTGTTTGGTGGAAATGCTGTGAGTTTTGTTTTCAACCGGAGGGGCCTGGCCACCCTTCCGCTTGTACAGCCACCAAGCAGGGAAGGGGCCGGCACCAGGCACAGTGCTCTCACATCACAGCCCCTGGTCAGGGCACAGGCAAGCCCTAGCTGTAGGTGATCAAGGGAACATTGGGGAAGGCCTCCTGCGCCCCTCTCCTCCTCCTGTAGGCTCCCCCCCCCCCACTTCTCTAGAGGCCAAAAGATTAATCCCACCGAGGAAGCAGGCACGGGAAATGAATTTCAACATGAGAAAGAATAAAGGATCAAGTAATGCTTAGTAGATCCTATCTACCCAGTGCGCTGCCAGCTCACCCACATGCATGCCTTCACACAGCTCGAGGCAGGAGCACCACCAAAGCACTTCACACCCATGCGTGGAAACAGACTAATGAAACCTGCTCACTACTGTTTAAAAGGGAGGGGCATAGATAGCAATAGAGGGGTCAATTGGATCAGAGAAATTTATGGAACTATACAACGAAACCCTTTGTATGACTAATATATACGAAAAGGAAAAACAACAAAAAACAAAAGAGCTGCTCAAAGATACACAGGGAAGGATGACAGGGCCCCAGGTCCCCCAGAGCTCATTCCTGGGTTGGATGCTGTGGCACATGCCTGTAATCCCAGCTACTTGGCAGATGGAGACAGTGGAGCCTGGGTCTGGGGCCAGGCCAGGCCAGGCCAGGCCAGGCCAAAAGTTTGTCAGACCTCATCTCAAAGAACAAGCATACAGGCTAAGCTGTTATCTCAGGGGCAGGAAGATGGGTGGCCCAAGGCCAGCCCAGGAAAAAGCATGAGACCCTACCTGAGAAATAACTAAAGGGAAGAAAAGGGCTGGGGGTACGGTTCATAAGAGCACCAGCCCCTCGGGTACAAGGCTGTAGGTTTTTCTTCTTCTTTTTTGGTCCGGTCATGGGGTCTGAACTCTGGGCCTGGGCGCTGTCCCTCAGCTCTTCAGCTCAAGGCTAGCGCTCTACCACTTGAGCCACAGCGCCACTTCCGGCTTTTTTCTTTTTCTTATGTGGTGCTGAGAAATCGAACCCAGGGCCTCAGGCATGCAAGGCAAGCGCTCTACCACTGGGCCACCTTCCCAGCCCCAAGGCTGTAGGTTTATTCTCTACTTCCAAAAAAAAAAAAAAAAAGCAGAACCGAACACAAAACCGGATTTTGTCAGCCCTTCACCCTCAGATACTGCCACTGTTGGGTAGGTTGAGGCAGCGGAGCCTGAGACCATCTGAAACCGTGTCTCCACGCACAGCCGCCCAGGTGGGCCGGGGACCACCCAGCCTTGAGTATCCGCCCTTTATACCTGGGCCCTGCCTCACTCCATGTGCCAGCCTTGCCTGCCTCCCCTCCCTGGTGAGGCCAGAGATGCTCAGGGGCCGGGAGCTGGGCAGAAAGACGGGGAGGGGCCCTTAGGCTTCCAGCGTGTCACCATGGCAACAAAGCCCAGAGGCCCCACAGCCTGTCCCTGAAGACAGGTTCCCCCAAAGATGGTGTTCCCCACGGAGAGGTCTGGATTCAGGCTCTGAGCTGTCTCACCATGGTTGGGGAGCCAACCTAGTCAGGGCTGAGATCACCTCCCTCACCCACCTGGTGGCTTCAGGCAAACTGAGGGGAGGGGTCCCCCCACCCCAATCCTGCCCTGGGCCCCAGGGTTGGGTGCTGTGGTGGCTGCCACAGGAGGAGATCAGAATCACTGGAGTCTCAGGACCCAAGGCTTCTTTCTCTGCCTTTAGGGGAGCAATGATGAAAGCTCCTTTTTCTTTTCTTTTTAAAAAGCTGTCAAGGAAGATTCTAGAAATATCCCCTAGTCATTCGTCCCAAAGATTTATGAAACACATTCAAAACCTCTAAATACATTATGAAACAACTTTACTTCTAAATCTTAAATTTATGCACTGCTAGCTTAGCTTAACTTTCAGGAACTCTCTGGAAACAATACCTGATAAAGGAATGTCACAAGAGGACCCCCCACTCTGGTCTCAGGTGGTCACCTCCCCACCCCCCTCTCCACCCCGGCCCATCTCTGGTGAGGAGCCTGGACTGTCTGTCCTTCCTGGTCCAGAAACACAGCTCTACCTCCATATGATATAAAACCCTTTATTTGTTCCTATACAAGAAATACTGTTTCATCTCTCTTCATATTCATTGTTATTGATTCTCCTATTGCTCACTGACAGCAGGAGGTTGGGTGGTACTGGGGCTTGAACACAGGGCCTCTTGCTCTTGCTTGGCTTTCTTGCTCAAGGCTGGTGTTTTACTGCTTGAACTACAATTCCACTTCCAACTTTTTATCTGTGCCAATCCTATGGCTTGAACTTAGGGCCTGGGTGCTGTTCCTGAGCTTTTTTTGCTCAAGGCTACTATTCTTCTGGCTTTTTGCTGGTTAACTGGAGCAAAGAGTCTCAAGAACTTTCGGGCCTGGGCTGGCTTTGTACTGCAATCCTCAGATCCTCCCGAGTAGCTGGGGTGACAGGCATGAGCACTGACACCTGGGGCTTTTTGCTGGGGTGACACAGGGAGAGATGGTTTGTCGCCTCTGCATAAACTGTCTGGTGAGTTCTGGGGATTGATCCCAGGGACTTATGCTTGCTAGGCAGGCCCTGGACCATGTTACCATGCCTCAGTCCTCTTGCTCTTAGTTTGCTTTTCAGCTGGGGTCTTGTGCTTTTGCCTGGGCTGGGCTCTCTGTTACAGTATCACCACTTCTCCAGGAAGACCACACCTTCCCAAGGACAGAGGTATTGCGTTGATTCACAAGTGCCAGCCTCGTCCCATCAGGCTGGTTCAGCCTCTGATGGGCAGCAGATGCTAGCAGGAGTCCCAGGGCCCCACTTTCCCATGAGAGTGAGAAGCCAGGCTGACCCTCCCTCGGATGCCCACTTACGCCCAGCCCGACGGTTCCACCTGCTCCTCGCCCTCCATGTCCTGAATGTGAGCTGACTGTGGCTCCCCCTGCTGGAGAGTGGCTATGGCCTTCAGTCCCCCATTTTGGGTAAACCCAAACAAGAACACCTAGGACCTACTAGAATCCCAGGCGGTGATGGCGCTGCTGTGCTCTGGCTGTGTCTGTATGCGTTTGGGCTCCGGTAGCAGCCGCTGCTGCAGCCGCTGAGGCTGCCCAGCTGTTCCCCTCCCCGCACATGTGGCCCCTCGTTAACAAACCTTCCCGCAAGCTGGCGGGCTTCGGGCTCCTCACTTAGCTTTGTTTGTGTTTTCAATGAATCAGTGGGATAGGGAGATTAATCAACATGTTTAGAAAAATAGAGAAAGGAAAAAAAAAGAGCGTTCACCATGCTGGCTGTTCCTAAAGCTAGGAGAGAAAAGCTGCCTCCATCTGTGGGCTCAGCGTGAGAAGTGGGGAGAGGCGGGAGGGGCTGGGAGCGGTGGCTGTCGGCAGCAGAGCACATGGTGCCCCAGCACCTGGGCTTCAGGCCCTGCCAGAGACCTGCCGGCTCCCCGAGGCCAATGGCCACAGACCCGTTGCTTTCAGAGGCCAATGGCAGGTGGCTCCTCCCCACCTGCTCAGTCCCTCCCCTCTCCTCAAACTCCACACCACCTGCTCTCTTGCTCCAAGGGTGCCTGCTCTGCAGGGCCCACATCTACAAAGCAGCACAGGATGAGGGGTCCAGTGAGTACTGGGGCCTCCCCTTGGGGACCGGCTCTGGCTAGCCCTGTGAGGGACCCAGTTTTGTATGGAAGACACACTTCTTTCTTCTTGCTTTTCTTTGTTTTTGATGGTACTGGGTTTTGCACTCTACCTCATGAGCCACACCATCAGCTGTTCTGTGCTTTAGTTATTTTTTTTTATTATTATTATTTTTTTGGTCCAGTCGTGGGGCCTGAACTCTGGGCCTGGGCGCTGTCCCTCAGCTCTTCAGCTCAAGGCTAGCGCTCTACCACTTGAGCCACAGCGCCACTTCCGGCTTTTGTCTTTTTTGCTTATGTGGTGCTAAGGAATCGAACCCAGGGCCTCATGCATGCAAGGCAAGTGCTCTACCACTGAGCCACCTTCCCAGCCCCTGCTTTAGTTATTTTTGATCCAGGGTCTTGTAATTTTTGCCCGGGTCAGCCTTGAACCAAGATTACAGGCATATACCTCCATGGCTTGTCTTGTCTTAGAGATGATAGAGCCTTGCTAGCTTTTTTCTCTGGGCTTGAATGGCAATCCTCCTAACTCTGTCACCCAAGAAGTTGGGATTACAGGCATGTACCACCAGATCTGGCATTTCTTTTTACTCTTAAGTGAGCAGTAACACAAACTGTCCTGCACCCATACTGTGGAACATTATGCAGTGGTGAAAAGAAACCAACTATTCCACACAAGTTGAACGGATCTCAAGGTCATTCTGTAGTGGAGAAAGCGAATCCCTGAAGGTCATTTCTCACATGACTGCATTGACGACTTGACACTCTCCAAATGAGAGATGGGAGTATCTCCCAGCTCCTCAAATCCAGACCTGAGTCTGGACCTTCAAGTCCCCAGTCCTGACCTGAGGGAAGAGGCTGCACAAGCAGCAAGGCATTTCACAGAAGCTCACCTGAGCTCACGCAGCCTGGCTGAAGGGGGTCCTGCAGTGACGTCACGGAGTGGAGGGCTGGGGAAGAGGAAGGCAGAGTTACGGGGTGACAGGCACAGAGCAGTCATCTGCACACAGGAAGGGTGGGGACCTCAGGATGGGGGCCCTGGGCCAGGGGCCCGGGGCTGGGAGCCACCAGGAGCCACTGCCTGTGACATTCACTCTGTGCCTGTGGCTGGCTTCCTTCCTGACTTCCTGATTTAGCTACTTGACTTTTACTTATATTTATGTACAAACAGCATTTTCTTAATTGGTAACTCATTTTCTGCTGCTTATAAAATTAGCCAGGCACAGGCTTCTCAGTTTTAAAATTTCAAGTCAGTGCTTTGGCCACAGGTTTAAAGGGAGAAGTTCTTGCACTCCAGAACAGCTGACTGCTGGGGGGCAGGGGATCCCTTCTTGTTCCTGCCCCCCCACCCCATGGCTGGGGACGCCCTCCTCAATTCCTGGCTAAGATGGTTATGGCCCTTGCCCTCACCTGGTCCTTGCTGCTGGCCCTGCACGGGCAGCACTCCCTGGCCCAGCTCGCCGTTCAGCCACAGCTGCATCCGGATGAAGGGCTCTCGGCCTTTCTGGGTCAGCTTACTCCACGGCTTTGGGCGAGACAGCATGTCACTGACACTGCCCTGGGACAGGCCAAGCACCTGGAGTGGTGAGTAGAGACACGAGGCTGTCAGTGCCACATAGGGACATGAGGCCGAGGGGGGTGAGGGGGGGCGGGGGAGAACACATGTGAGATCACAGCTCAGCCTGATGGGCAGAGCCATTTTCGGGGGTCAGCCTTGGTGGTGGGAACCGCAAAGCCCTCTGGATCATTCTGTACACGACCGGACAGACACATCTTCCTCTCACTGGCTGCTCTCAAGCCTGTCTATCTGTAGGCCCAGGATGTGAGGATCCAAATGGCCCTTGGCAGAAAACCAGCTCTACCCCTGCAGCTCACTGGGGGGGCCCGACAACCCAGCATGGGATCCAGCTATCTCAGAGGCCCGGCTCAAGGGAAAGAAAGGAAGGGCAGGGGTCTCATCCAGGGAGGAATGGTGCTCACTCAGATGCCTACCGAACAGCAGGGAAAACATCTTGTGCTTGGGTGGTGAGGTAAGAGGATGGGGTGCTAGTTCCAGAACCCCTCAAGAGGCAGGAGGGGGATGCAGGCAGGATGTGGCCTCCTCTAATGATGCTGAGCCATGGGCACTCTGTGATCATGGCCACTCATCATGGGGGGGGGAGGGGAGGGACCCAGCGTGAGGGGAGGGGCAGCGCCTGGGTGGGTGGGGCTTCACTGCAGATGATTGACAGGCCTTACGTCCTCGGCAGGTCTTCCATATGGCCATCCATATGTATGGGCGCCAACACCCCACCCTGGACACACATGCAGCCCGGAGATATTTAGGGGCTGCATCCCATCACCCAGAAAAGTTCTCAAGTTCCAGAATAAACTGTACTCAGGGCCAAACAAGTTCAATGTTATTAAGTCTGCTAAATTTAAGGCCTGGGTACAAATGTCTATTTAAATGTTCTCAAATGATATTTTTACAACGCTGCTAGAAATCTCAAGGGACTTAAAGTTCTCATCCTCATTTCTATGCACCCTTATCACCTTCTGCAAAATCAGGACAAAGATCTCACAGGCACAGCACCCATAGGGTGGGACCTGGGGCTGCAGGTGGGGCTGGGCAAGGGGCAGGCCAAGGCAGGAGGCTTTTTTCAGCAGGCCACTCCTTTGTCTAGAATGATACCAGGCCGTTATGTTTATTTTAGGCTTCACAGGCCCTGTAAATCCTATTATCCAGAATCTGTCACCAAGGGAGTGCCAAGAACAGAAAGGTCTGGAAGCTCATGCATGAAGTATTACACTTTCCTGAGCCAGAAGGGGACAGGGAAATAGGGCGGACTTGAGCATGCTCCCAGGGGCCGAGGCAGTAGGTGTTCCCAGCATGGCGCTTTGCCCACAAACTTGGATGAGAAAAGAACAAATGTGCTTTTTGTAGTTCTCTCATGCCTGTTGCCTGTCCTGGGGCTTGATCTCAGGGCCTGGGCACCATCCCTGAACCTCTCTGTGCTCAAGTCTAGTACTTTATTACTTGAGCCACAGCACCACTTCTGGCTCTTTCTGTTTATGTGGTACTGAGAAATCGCACCCAGGGCTTCATGCATGCTAGGCAGGCACTCTACCACTGAGTCACCTTCCCAGCCAATCCCTGATCATTAGTTTGCTCAAGGCTGGTGGCTCCACTACTTGAACCACAGCTCCAAGTTTGGCATTTTGGTGCTTCATTGGAGATAAGAGCCTCACCGGCCTGCCCAGGCTGGCCTTGAACTGAAATGTTCAGATCTCAGCTTCTAGAGTAGCTAGGCTGACTGGTGCCCAGCATTTTTAAAATTTGGTATTAGTGGGATTTGATCTCAGGGCCTTGTGCTAAGAAAACATTCTACCAGTTCACCCAGCCCTTCTTGCTTTATTTTTTTAGGGAGGGGTCATCCTTTTGCCTAGGCTGGCCTTGAATCTCCATCCTCCTACCTCTGCCTCCTGAGCTGTGTAGACTGCCCCACCTCACCTTCCCCTGCCTTCCTGACCAAGGGGGCCTCGATGCACTGTAAGTGAGGGTCTTGTCATGATGTGCAGGAATGTCTGGGGCAGCCCCGGCAATATGGTGAGGGTAGATTCCGTGAGAGAGGAGAGCCCCTTACCTTCTCCCCAAAGATCCTCTGGCAGATGCCGTTCTTGGCCAGCTTCTCCTTCACCTGCCGGGTAAGCTCGATGGTGTCCACCTCCTGGTACATGTACACCTCGTACTGCTCGGGCGTCAGTGGGGGCACTGAAGGTTTGGCAGGCTTAGCCAGGGGCACAATCGGGGAGGAAGGCAGAGGGCTGTTCTGGGGTGTCTCGCTGCGGCTTGCTCCGGTGAGGCTCAGTTCCGAGCTCTGTGAGTACGGGGACTCAGCACTGGGCCACTCCTTCCAGTACTCGGCGGCCACGGGGCCCTGGAGCTGCCCACGCTCGGCCCTCAGCTGTCCGCCACCAGCTTTGTCCTTCCCGCCTGCTGGCTCCTCGGCCTTGGCGTCTTCGGCAGAGGCAGGGTTCCTCCGCTCAGACTGCATGGGGCTCCACCAAGGGTCCTTCCAGGCCCCGCTGCGGCCCAGCTCGCTCTTCACCTGCCTCAGGACCCCCTGTGTGGTGTCAGCTGTGCCCTGGGGGTCCAGGCCCGGCACGTCGGGGGCCTCCTTCTTGAGGGCGGGAGTGCTGGGCAGTGCAGAGGTGCTGGCCTCGGGGGCCGTGGCGGTTTTCTTCAGGGAGATGGCGAGAGGCGAGTAACTGGACACAGAGGACATAGGGGAGGTGGACAGGAGCTTGGGGGTGAGGAGGGCGAGGTCAGGCTGGGACAGTGGTGCTGGCTTTAAGGCAGGGTCCAGAGCGGCCTGCTGGGCCTCCATTTCCCGGCGGGCCTGTTGCAGGATGGAGCGGATGGCGTCGTCAGAGTTCCCACTGCTAGATGCGGAAGACGGTTGGACTGGCTCGGCTGTGTGGAACAAACACAGGGTGAGACTGTGGGGGGACTGCCGAGCCCAGCTTTGCCTCCCTAGTCTGCCACACACCACCCCACTCCCACGGCCCGTGCAGACACTGGCCATTCCTGCTCAAGATGGCAGTGGCTGTCTAGAGGGGAGGGCACTGGACTTGAGAGATTGGTGGATGGCTTTGATGCTGATGCTGTTAGGAAGAGCCAGACGCTGACATCTGTCCTCTGGCCACCGAGCAGGAAGACAGAGGACAGTGCCTGGCCCCGTTCCGGCCCGGAAGGGAACACGGAACTCACCCTGGGACAAGTGGTGTGAAGGCAGATGGATCCATTGCCAGCAGCGGCCCCAGCTGAGCAGCGATGGCTGCGGGGGTCCGGCCCGGCAGGAGGGGGGTGGGGATGCTCTGGGGATCAGGGCTTCCTGCCTGGAGAGCAGGCAGGGTCCCCTGCATTGTATCCTAAGGGGCTTCTCAGTCTTATCTAAGAAGTGGGAATGGAGGGTCCTTCCATGAGGAAGAATTCAGATGGGCCTACCGTCCATCCAGAAAGTGGACATCTCCCCATCAAAGCTGCTGATCTGTGCTTGGACCAGCAACTCTGTCACATAGTGAAAGCTTTCTTTTTGGTCTTTGGGACAGTCTCACCGTGGACCCCAGGCTGGCCTGGAACTCACAAGCCTCTTGCTGAAACAAGGATTATAAGGCATGTGCTACCACACCCAGTTTACAGGTTCATTTTCTGCTCATTGTGTTTCTTTGTTTTTCTTTTTTTCCAGTTGCATTTGGTCAGGAATCACTAATAACCAAATAACAAAAGCCAAACCACCTGCTAACGTAGATTAGGAAGGTTCTATGAGGGGGAGTAGGAGGGTCCTTGAGCTGAGGCTAGGGAACGGTACTGTCAGCCATGCACGTCACAAAGCCGCTCCTCTCGGCTCACTACCATTTAAAAAAAATGTAATTACCGCTGACCAGAACACTCCTGACAATTGTCTTAATGACGTTAGGGCCAGCGGCTGCGGTGGAAGCCGTACCGGTTTTCTGCACTTGCAGCTCCCGCTTGGCCTGTTCCAGGATAGATTTGATGGCGTCGTCAGAGCCAGTGTCGGAGGCTCGGATCCGGGTAGTGATGTTTCCTGTGGGGAGAAGACATGGCCGAGCCATCAGACCCACGCCTGGCGCCACCACTCACACCGCATCAACACAGCATTCTGACCCAGGGCCCCGGGTGGAGGTGCCCTGCCGGGCCCGCCTCACAGCCGGAGGGACCCCGTCTCTCACATTCGCTCTGTGGCCCCTGGGTGGGGACCCAAAGGCGCTGTGCCTCAGGCCATTTAAAAGCCTTGCCTGCAACTGCTCTGGCTCGGGACACCTGGGAAGAAGGAGGCTAAAGGGCTGAGGCTGATCACGGATCAGTGGTTTGGAGCGGCAGGTGAACTTCCACCCTTGTGGGCCTAGCTGGGAATTTCATGTTGGAGGAGCGGAAGCCCGCAGAACCCTCAAGGACGTGAATCCATTCTTCCGGTCACAGGGTTGGCGCTCTGCAGAGCGGCCTCACGTGCAGCCGCCTGAAGCTACTCGGGCCCAGATCTTTCTGGAAGCTGGCCAGATCTCTTAATCGTTCACTACCTTACTCCATAGGAAGCGCCACATGAAACCATTTAAAAACAAGGATACCACAGGGACGAGGCCCCATTAAAGACGCCTTCTGAGGGGCATGGTGGGGGCTGGCTTGCCAAGTCCCATGGAGAACCGGTTCTGTCTGGAATCTGGCCCCTCCGTGGACCTCTCGACAGATTTCAGGGTTAAAAGTTGGAGGAAGCAGCAGGATCTGCTTTGATGCTGTCACCTGACTTTTCTCAGAGCACAACTGTGAGGTGGTGGCTTGCTCCTGAGGAGGGGCGGAGGGGCAGGGCATGGGGCTGGGTGTGGGGCCGGCTGCCTCTCCAGTCTCCACCTGGGCTCAGGAGAGCACAGGCAGCTCAGGAGGAAGGGACTGGGCACCCGGGACCCCCTACTTTGTTTTATACTTACTAGCTCTGTTTTTCCATCAGGTTCCAGGCCAGAACCATACTGCACATTTTAACCCAAATGCCTGGCTAAGGACATGCTTCTCTTCCCTAGCTGACTGACTGCAAAGGAAAACACCTGCCTGAGACATACCTTCAGACCCATTTCTTCGTTTCGGTACTTCCTGAAATAGTCTGTTCAGGCTCTGGCCTGGATTCTCTGTTGAAAAACAAGTGTGGTAAGAACAAAACAATCAGGGGAGGGGGCGTGACTTCGCTAAAGAAAGGGCTGAGGGCTTCCTGCGCAACTCGGAGCAACCAGAGAGTTCTGAGACGCCCTTCCCTGGCCAACCTCCTGTAGGAGATGCCACGAGGGCAGAGCTGGGACAGCTGCCCCAAGCCATCATGGCCAGCCAAGCACGGAGCTTACAGTAATCATCCAGAGACATTCAATTTAGTCAACATGGCCAGGAATTGCTCTGTGCGCTCTGCGCCAATCTTCCCTTCTCCCTCTATCTGAGCCTAAATTTCAGGGGGCTGCAAATGTGGCTGCCGGAAGTTCCTGCCCAGGAGTGGCTGTGGCCTCAGCCTCTGCACTATGGGAGGGGAAGGATGCCCTGACTCTGTAGCTTTTTCTGGCGGGTAGGGGTAGGAATCAGTCTGAATATAACTTTCTGCGTCGAGGAAGACAAGTATTGCTCATACTGCTTAAAAAGAAAAAAGATCACTACTGGACACAGATGACGCCTGGTGGCCGTGGGTCATGTGTTCTGGGGAAGGAGGAAGAGGAGAGAAGCCAGGGCTCAGAGCTGACACCCTGGGGCGGCTCCCTACGTGAGGCCTCTGGGCCCCCCTGGATGCCATGTGCAGGACTGTCAGTCCCTGCAACTCAACACAGGTGGCGACACTGAGTCTGCTGAGCAGAGGGGCTGCTCGCACACACCTGACCGTTTCTGCCTGTGCTGGCTGACTGAGCCCTGGACATGGAACACCTGGACGGCTCTGATGTAATGCAGGAATGCCGGCCACTCGATCGTACACACGCAAGCGTGCACACTCACACACCCACACACAGCTCGTGATGAGCTTGTAGGCTGGCGCCAGCCCGAGGGCGTCTCTCACCTCTCTGTCTGCCTTGGATGCTGCGAAGGGCCAGGATGTTCTGCTCGTCCGACAGGAACTGCTTCATCTTGTGGAATGGCTCTTTGCCACGGACCGTCAGCTTATTCCACGGCTTGGGCCGGGCCAGAATCTCGCTCACAGACCCCTGTGACAGTCCCAGGACGTAATGTCCAAAGATTCGCTGTCCAATGTTGTGCTTGATGAGCTGGTCTTTGACCTGCCGGGCGATTTCTGCCGTGTCTATCTCCTCGCCCTCCGAGGCGCTCCCGGCGCTTTCGGATTGGCTGGGCGACGGCGCCAGGCCATTGACATCGGGGCTCTGTTGTAATGAACTTGGGGAAGAGATGGAGTTTGTGCTGTATGGACCTGTTGAAAAAATTATGCTTGTGCTTCCTGCTTCCTGTACGGCCTTGGAGTAGAAGGTCTGCATGAGCTGCCGTTGGAGAAGAGAGTTTAGTGCATATTTTCCCGTAGGAGCCAGGGGTAGGCTGGGGCTGGCCAGGGATGAGTTGAAAAAGTCTTGATTTAACCCCGCTGGTGAGAACTGGTGTGTACCATTAGTATTGGAAGCCTGGTCCCCCGGGCCGCGGGGCACCTGGGGAGGAGGGGAGGCCGGCATGGGTCCCGGGCGCCGACTCTCAGGCTGGTCTTTCCCTTTTCTCCTGGCTGACCCTACAAGGAAGGGCAAACAGAATGCATTATGGGGGGATTTCAAAAGGGGGGGGATAAAAAAACCAAGACCAGAATGCAAATTTGCCCCACAAAAGGGAAAAACACCAAAAAAGTGCAGATTTGACAAGGGCCAATGAGGTGTGTTGGTTTTTTTTTTTCCAATTGAATTTGTTAAGTCAGCCAAACAAGGCCCCCCAAAACAAGCCACATGCATTCATGTTTGCACCTTTCTTGTACGTTGCAGCCTGGAGACTGCCCTTGCCCAAGGGCAACACTGCTAGAGTGACAGGAGCCGGTGACACACACAGGAGAGGGGCGGCAGGTCCGGCCCTGCCCGAGGAGCCACGCAGCACGCAGCACGCGCAGGTATTTGGAGGAGCCACGGGTGGCTCTCACCACGCGCAGGGAGGCGATCGCAACTGCACCGAATCCGCTCGATCCAAGGCGCGCGCGCACGGCACACAACGCGTTACCACCAGACACCTTGACGCATTTACCAGCCGACAAACCAGAAGCCATCAGTGACACCAACAAAGAAAGGCTAAGACTGGGGGACGCGGCCCCAGTGAAAACCTGGCCAAGGAAGGAGAAGTGCCCCTGAGCCAGGGGTGCCGGCGACCCCTCGAAGACAGACTCCCCACAGAGATGGCGCGTGTGTCTGCCCCCCCTCCTGTCCGCACGCAGCACAACTAGGAAAAGACCGAAAGCCAACATCCTGGGGGCCTCTCCGATTGGCCCCGCCCAACACTCAAGATCATCCACCAGCGGCGCGCCTACCAGGCCCGTGCTGGCCTCAAGCTCCCCTCTGCTTCCTCGACCCCTGGAAGCTACCTACCGCTCAGGTCGCTGTTGGAGATCCGCAGGGCCGCGTTCTCTGACTGCAGGGCGCGGCTCTTCTCCAGCAGCAGCACCTCCAGGGGCTTCGCGGCATCCTGGAGTGGGGAGAGTGGGGCTCGAGTGGGCTCACCTCCGCCGCCCGCCCACCACCTCCCCACCCAGTGCTGGCCTAGTCCCCGTGGGGTGTTTAATGGACACAAGGAAAATAGGCAAGCTCCTCAGAAATACAGTTGAGTTTCAGCCCAGGTAAGCTTTCTTCTTAAGCTTTCTTCTTTTTGTTTTTTCCATTTTCATTTTCGTTTGGCTTTTTGGGTGGTGTGAGGTTTGAATTCACGGCCTCTGTCTGCGTGGCAGGCACTCTTAGAGCCACCATGTCTCTAGTACTTTATGCTATCATTATTTCTTGGGTGGGGTTTTATGCCTGTGCCTTGGCTGAGATGCCCTGTAGTGGGGTAGCAGGTTGGGGTTACCACCCTAGGCTTGGTGATTGAGATGTGGCCCTGTGCACTTTCTGCATGGGCTGGCCTAAAGCTGCTGTCTTTCTGATCTCTTACCTTTCAAGTAGCTGAGATTATAGGCATGAGCCTCAATATCCATTCTATCATTTTAAAATAATTAATGCCAGTCCCAGGGCTGGGACTCCTAGCCTGGATGCGGTGCCTTAGCTCCTTTGTTCAAGGCTAGCACACTACACTTGAGCCACAGCTCTACTTCTACCATTTGGGTGGTTAATTGGAGATAGGAGACTCATAGATTTCCTTGCCCAGGTTGTCTTTGAACCTCCATTCTTAGATCTCAGCTTCCTGGTAGCTAGGATTACAGGTGTGAGCTACCAATGCCTGGCTTGCTCTATCTATCTATCTTTGTACCAGTCCTAGGGCTTGAACTCAGAGCCTGGTTGCTGACTCTGAGACTCTTTTGCTCAAGACTAACGTTCTACCACTTGAGCCACAGCTTCACTTCCAGCTTTTTCTGTAATTAACAGGAGATGAAAGTCTCATAGACTTTCTGGCCTGAGCTGGCTTTGGACCACAATACTCAGATCGCAGCCTCCTGCTTAGCTAGGATTATAGGTGGTACCCAGCATGGTTTTTATTTTTTTAAATGAAAACACAGGACCTTGCTGTTGTCCAGGCTGGATCAAAACTTCTGGGCCTAAGAAATCCCCCGCCTTCAACTAGATACCCTGTACCACCATGCCCAGCTCCATGGTATAAATTTTAGTTGGCCTCCAGGTGACCAGGTGCCCTGTCGCCCTGTTCCCAAGTCTGCACGGGCAGTATATAGCTGAGATTCCCATGCCAATCTATTTCTGGCTGATCTTTAACACAACTTGAAACAAACAGTTGCTGATTTTGGTTTAGATTCTAGGGCTGTGCTTAGGCTCTGGGCATGGAACATGCAGAGCACATACATGCTACACCCCAGCTCCTGGGTTTTTTTTTCTTCCCTGCTAGAGTTTGCATTCAGAGCCTTGCACTTGCCAGGCAGGTGCTCTGCTACTTGAGCCACACCTTCAGTCCTTTTGCTCTGGTTATTTTTGAGGGGTGGTCTCACTTTTTTGCCTCAACCAGCCTGGATCATTATCTGATCCTATTTATGTTTCCCACCATCATACTCAGTCTTTTCTGTTGAGATGGAGGGGGGGGTCTCACAAACTTTTTTTTTTGGTCCAGATTAACCTGGACTCATAATCTTCCAGATCTCAGCCTCTTGAGTATCTAGATTATAGGTATGAACCACCTCTCCTGGCCATGAAATTGTTTACCCATGTCCTTAGGAGTTGCCAAAGCGAGATTGCAATTTAATGGGAACATAGCCATTTGGCAAACATTTTTTGGGGGTGGGGAGGTCAGTTCTAGAGACAACTCAGGACCTCAAGCTTGCAAGGCAGACGCTACCACTTGAAACGTACCCCCAGCCCCACTTTTTATCTCCCCATTCCTTAAAGACTATTTGCTTCTTTTATTGCTTCCCCCCCCCCTTGGTCATTTTTGGGGCCTGGGCATTGCCCCTAAGCTCTTTTTGCTCAAGGCTAGTGCTCTGCCACTTTGAGCCATAGTGCCACTTCTGGTTTTCTGGTGGTTCACTGGAGGTAAGAGTCTCCTGGGGACTTTCCTGCCCAGGCTTTGAACTATGATCCTCAGATCTCAGCCTCCTGAGTCACTAGGATTACAGTTGTGAGTCACCAGGGCCCAGCTTGCTATTATTTCTTGAGACAGGGTCTTGCTATGTAGCCTGGCCTGGCTTCCAACTTGTGATCATCCCGCCTCAGTCTCCCAAGGGAAGGGATTAATGGTGGATCCCCTATGCCTGGCTGGGACCATTGCCTTCTGCTTGCCATAAGTGAGAAGTGTCATGGAAAGGCAGAGGAGGGGGCTGCACGAGGGGGAGTACCTGCATCCCTGCTCCATCCGATGGGGCGAACTCCATGGACTTGAGGATGCTGAAAGGACAAGGCAGAGAGTCATCTTCCGCCAGCACCTTGTGAGCGATCATGTGTGTGGCTAGGTACTGACACCTCATTTCTTGCTCTCCAGAGCTGAGGCACTGTCAAACCCCACAACCTCCTGGCAGGAATTTCATGTGACAATGTCTCTAGAATAGCTAGCACACATGAGCAGCTGGCCAACAAAGGTCTTGTGCCCAGCATTCAAGTCCTCCCAGGCTGGAGCAGGGTGGGGCCTGCGCTGGGGAGTCTACCATCCCAGGAAACAGAGCCAGGGAAGTCCTGATCCCCGGCTGCTGCCTTTCCTGCAGCTCAGGACTGGAAGGAGCCACAGCCTGAACATGAGGTCCCCTGAACTGGCTCCTGTGACCCCCTGACTACTGGGGCACACGTCAGGCAAGTACTCTACCATCTGAACCCCATGCCCCTCAGCACTTTGAGACAAGACCTGGGCTAGACTCCATCTTCCTGCTGTGCCTTCCTGTCTACTTTGCCAGCCTCTGAGTTCCACAGGTGAGAACTCACCACCTCTCACACGGGAGAGATGAGGAGCCATCAGGGCAAGCTTCTCTTGTCTTCCTGAGAGTCAGGATGTTTGCAGCTAGGTTTGTGTGTGTGCATGTGCATGTGCCAGTACTGGGACTTGAACTCAGGACTCTGTGCTCTTGCTCAGTTTTGCTTACACATGGTGCTCTACCACTTGAGCCATGCCTCCAGTCTGCAACTATATGCTTGGGGCCTCGATGACCATGTCAGAGAAAGAGTCTCTGGGTTTATATAGATCCAACTGCCCCATGTGACAATCTGAAATCAGAAACGTTTTGAGTTGCCAAAAGCACTGTTACACTATACACATAAAGTGCATGACAAACAAATGAATGTGGTATCTAGGCTTAGGTCTCAGCCTCAACGTATCTCTTTCAGTGCATGCAAAATATTCCAAAATCTGGAAAAAATATAACTAAACCAAAACACTGCTGATCTCAAACAGTTCCAGTAAGAGATACTGAACCCACAGGCAGGTGCACACCCCCTCTCCGTTTATTCAACATGTACTTACCAATGACCTGGCAGTCCTGAGCAGCTCAGCACTGTAGGGAATCCCAACCTGTCCCGACCCACTCCCCTCAGACCAGAGGCCATGCCTGCCTCACATCACAATCCTCCTGATCTCAGCCTCCCGAACAGCTAGAATTATAGGTATGAACCACTGGTGTCTAGATCTGCTCCTGGAAGCTTTCCTTAGGCTTTTTTTTTTTTTTTAATTCAAGGCTAGCACTCTATCCCTTGAGCGACAGCTCCACTTCCAGCTTTTCTGTTGGTTAACTGTAGATAAGAGTCTCACAGACTTTGCTCCCTGGGCTGGCTTCAAACCTCGATCTCAGCTCTCAGCTTGTTAAGTAGCTACAATTATAGGCCTGGTACACAGCTGTGAACTCCAATTTTATGATTTTCTGTAAGGGTAATATTTCTTGACTTTGTGCATATCAGAATACTTTGATAATAATAATTACTGCTTTTGTGATGCTGAGAACGGAACCCAGTCTTCGTGTGCTGGGGGAGTGACTTGCCATCAAGTTAACCCCCAGCCCTTGGTTTTTTGAAACAGTCTTCCTGTGTGGCTGGGCTAGCCTTCAACTTGAGAGCCTCTTGTCTCTATGTCCTGAGTGTTGGTTGGACGTGCACCACCACCCCTGACTTGCTAGAATACACTAAATACACAAATTCTTCACAGTCTGGGCAGACCCAGGGTGAGGCTGTGGGTGTTTCAGCTGCCCGGCGCCCCCTGGCCCATCAGCAGGTGGTCCTTACGGCCCAGCTGCGAAGGCCACAGGCATCTGTGTACTCACTTCAGCTCCTTCTTCACCTCTTCATAGTCAGCCTGGCCCTTGAGTTTTTCTTCCAGTTGCTGAAAACAGAAGGAATTTTATTAGTGGCCATGTCTGAAAGCACACGGTGAGGCCTAAGGGTGGCGTGTCTGACCACGCGGCCAGCCATGCAAGGGGCAGGACCCTGCACACACGGAAGCAGCCATGGCAACACCACTGTTTGTTCTCTTTTGCTCCTTGGGCTTTGCCTAGCATGAGCATGGAACACATGTGCCCAGCAGCCCCGCCCTGAGAGCCCTGAGGCTGGTGTGGCGGCCACAGTCTGCTGCTGGAGGCCCATGCCTTTGGGGGATCTGCTAACAAGAGGTGCGGGTCCTTGGCTGTGCAGTTGCCCCATCAACCAAGAATGTGCTAACTGAGCATCTGCGGTCCCAGGCCTAGGTGTTGGGGCCTGGACTGGGGAGGCTGTGCCACTGCGTGCTTAGTGGGTTGACAGCCAGCTTGAGTCTCATTGGGTCCCTGGTTCCTCAGTCCTGGGGATAGACAGCAAGCTCCCAAAGTGCTGGTGGCTCACCCCTGTCACCTTAGCTACCCAGGAAGCTGAGATCTGAGGATCATGGTTCAAAGCTAGTCTGGGAAGGAAAGTCCCGATCTCCAATTAATCACCAAAAAAAGCTGGAAGTGTTGCTGTGGCTCACAGTGGCAGAGTGCTAGCCTTGAACACAACAGCTCAGGGATAGCACCCAGGCCCTGAGTTCAAGCCCAAGGACTGGCACACACACAAAATAGTGCAATAGTGCTGTAAGATATTCTAGAATAAGTGTGTGTAAGCGCGCTGGGTGTGGGTGTGGCACTTTGCCCACAGCCTGTTGGGCCTTCCTCGTGGGAAGAGCTGCTGGCACCTGTGGCCAGCCACAGGTGGTTTTGGATGTCTGCCTTGACCTCTTCCACAGGGAGCTGAGCCCTGAGGCCCAGGGCAGGATTCCAGGCTTAAGGAAAAGATCCGTCGCCTGAGTACCTGCAGGGGTTCTAGGTGTGTTTTTGGCTATGCCTGACTAGCCACCTTGAAACCCCCGTGTTTGCCCGGCTGTTGGCCAGGATGACTATGTTATATCTGAACCCGTCCTATGTTGAGAAAGCTACTCTGTCACTACTGGCTCAGCCTCTTCCCTTGGCTCCACTGGCAAGTTCATGTGTGTTTTCCACAGACGGAAATTACTCTGCCTCGCTTACTTTTAAGATTTCTTGCCAACTTTGTATAATCGTTTTCTCAGCCATAATCCAACGGGAGAGATAGGTTTTTATTTCCCCACAAAAGCATCTCTTAGCATCCTATAGCCAAATATCAGACAACCCTCTCCAACAGAGCATCACACAGTGTTGCCGGGACCCTAAATACCCTGGCACTCTACCACCAGAGCCACGCCCCTAGCTGAGTTTTTGGCTGGCAGCAGAGGGAGCCTCATGTACTTTCCTGCTCAGACTAGCCCCAAACCACAATCTTCTAGATAGATCTCATCCTCCTGTGAGTATGTAGTGAGGATGGCAGGAGTGAGCCACTGTTCTCTGGCTTGTTTTCAAATCTTTATTCCAGCTTAAATTTAAGACATCTGGCTGCAGTTTTTAAGCGAGCAGTCCTCGTACTGCATGTGTTACGGAGTTCCAGCTGTGGGAGCAGTGTGCAACCGTGTCCCTGCGCCGGCTGCAGGCCGGGGTGACAGCAGCAGCTGCAGCCCCGCCGTGGAGCGGGAAGGTGGAACCTGGGGGCTGGGTTATCTCCCCGACTCACTCCTGGGCTGCATCTGACAATGTTGCACAAATCTCTTCTGGGCGGGGAGGGTCTGTGCTTGGCCCCTGCTCCTGGCTCGTTTCCTGGGCTGGACAGGGATCCTCTCTGCAGGCCTGGGAGCTGGGGCAGCTGCACTGTGCCACAGAAGGAACACGTGGGATGGAGTTGGGTGCGTGTCCTTAGTTTCTGATGGGTTTGCGGGGACGAGGCCCCATGAAGGGCAGCACCTGGGGACTGGGCGCAAATGCATGCAGGGGCTTTTCCTGGAGGGATGGCTGCTGGCTGCCAGGACAGCAGAGCTGGCCCCTCCTCCAATGGCGGGGCAGCGCCGAGAGGGGTTCACCAATGGCAGTGAGGCCGTGGCTCTCCCCACACCGTGGCCATCCCATGGGACGCGCACCCCTCGTGGCTTGGGGAACCTGGCAGGCGTTTGATGACTAGCTGAAGGTCTCAAGGTCTGGGTCCAGACTTGAGTGGCACGCTGTGATCCAGCCCTCACTTCAGCAGTCATTATACTCAAGTTAGGCAGTGCTGAGGCCTTGGTGCTGAGGCTGAGTGCCAGGCTGCCGGCCACGCCGGGTTGGTGTACCCAAGCCCGCAGGGCAGGTGAGGACCCACGGGCTCTGGCGGGGAGGTTGGGGTGCGACCCTGGGGCAGGGGTGGGGGTGACACTGCCTCTCTGGGCCTGGGCAGAATGACAAAGACCCCCTCCCCCGCCCCACAGGGCGTGGCATCAGCATGGGCGGGGCATGGCACCAGGGGACAGGGCCTGGGCACGATGGGTGCCAGGACAGAGAACAGGCCCTGTACTTCCCAGACCCTCTGGCACTCGGTGGGTGCTGTGCATGCCACGCAGGGGTGTTGCAAATGCAAGGAGGGAGGCCCCAAGGCTGGGGTGGGTAAGCGAGGGCACCATGGAGAGCTAACTCTTTCCCTGGCCCACAGAAGCCAGGACAGACGGAGCCTCAGAGGCTAGGTGGAGGGCAGCCAGGCTAAAGGGACCTGGTCAGGTTGCAGTGGGTATTAGACCGGGAGGGAGGCTGAGCTGCCAGGGGGCCCTGGGAGGGAATATCCCCCTTTCTCCTGTACCCACATGTGAGGGAGACCACAGACCATCCTGGGGGCTTAGCGGAGCCGCCAGGGCCTGGAGGTGGCAGGGAGGGAAGGGAAGCATGCACAGCCTGGAAGAAGGTGGCTAAGCACACGGCCCACCTGCCCAGGGTCCCCTCTCCCTGCGGGAGGCCAGCAGTGCCCCAGCCAACCCCATCTCTACTCCACCCTTGGGGGACCATTATCCTCTGCGCCACGGTGAACATACTGCAGGTGACTGCCTAATTATGCCGCCTCTATTTTGGAGTGTTCCAACAGAAAGCCATGAAATAGTTATCAAAAATAGCAGCCCTGTCACGGCCGTCAGCGCTTTCATTAATTATGAGCATGGAATTCGCCTCTGAGAGCGGACATGTGCAGGAAGACGCCCCCCATTCCAAGGCTGGTTTCCATGTCTATTTAAAAGTGAGGGGGCTGGGCCGCGGTGGCTCACACCTGTAATCCCAGTGACTCAAGAGGCTTCGATCTGAGGATCACCGTTTGAAGCCAGACTGGGCAGGAAATTCTGAGAGACTCTTATCTGCAATTAATTACCAGAAAATCAGAAGTGGCACTGTGGCTCAAAGTGGTAGAGCCCTAGCCTTGAGCAGAAAGAGCTCAGGAACAGTGCCCAGGCCCTGAATTCAACCCCCATGACCGACAACAAATAAATAAAGGGGAGGGACACAGTGACACACTGGCTGGGAACTGTGGTTCAAAGAATGGAACTCTGGTTAACAGAGACTGACAGACATAAAACTGATTGGTGAGGAAAAAGATGGGGGTTCCAGTGCCGGGGCCAGAGGCCACCCCAACATTCCACCACTGTAGACAGAGCCACCAGCACTGGTGGAATTCAGCCAGTGAGAGGGCAGACTCAGGAGCGTCTAGTTGCCATGGGGACAGGTCTCATTCATAAAGCACCCTCCCGGTCACCGTGCCCCTCCGCCTCTAGATCAGAGACTGAGGCCCCAAAGGCCTCTCATTCAATTAGCCATATCCCTTTGGGGTGCAGGAGATATGTTTGCTCATTGGTGGTGGGTGGTGGGGAGAACCTGAGGCCTTTGGTGTATGTCTTTGCTCTCAGAGAAATCTTTACTCCTGGCGACAAGGGGTTAAGATAATTAAAATTAGCACAGTCTTGTTACTAGCGGATATGTTTTGATTATTAGATCAGACAAAGATGGGGAGCAGTGATTTTGGAAGAACCATCGCTGGATTGTCTCATTAACTGCACGGTATTAAGCAATTCCCCCAAGATACGGATAAAGAACATTAATTTGTGAAACTGCGTTTCATTTTTGTGAAGGCAAACATTAAAACCTTTAACTGATTTAGAAGCTATTGCTCCATAATGAAAAATGGAAGGTCTAGAGCTTGGCGGCATGGGGTGTATGAGGGGTATACTGGGGTTCTGCCCTGTAACCATAAAAAAGGGAAGAAAGGCAAATTATCTAATAATAATGCCTTTGCCAGGGTCAGAAATGGCTACTGCAGAGAAAATTAGATTAAACCTGGAAATAAAAAATGAGTTGTGGCACTCATCGGGCAAGCTGACCAGAGAGGAAGAAGCACTGGAGAAATAAAGCAAGGTAGTGCCCAGCCCCCCACCGACCTAGCCCCAGGGTGGGGCTGCTCCTCAGAGTGCCCCCATGGTGGCAGAATTTCTCAGGAAGTGTATGCCTTGCACCCTAAAGGGGCAAGGAAGAAATGAGCAGGGGAGAGCTATGCCTCCCCCCACCCCTTGGTCAGAAATAGAGGTGCTGCAGGTTTAGCCCTGGTCATGCATGGTCATGTGTGGAGAAGATCATTGGAAAACAACAAAGAATATCAACCTGGAATGGCAGTGCACCTGTAATCCTTGCACTTGGGAGGAGGATCAAGAGATGAAGGCCAGTTGGGGCTACGTAGTGAGACCTTATCTCAAAAAGTAAAAGTAAGAAGAAATGGGTTTAACTGTATTCTAGAATATACTTTGTGTAGAAAACTTTTCTTCTCTCTCTGCCTGCCTGCCTGTCTCTCTCCCCCCCCCCAACCTGCCCCAGTCCCCTTTTCTCCCTTTGTGAATAAGGGTCTAGATACTGTGCTTGGCTAGCCCCCAGTACCTGGGATCCAGAGATCCTCTGCCTCAGCCTCCCCAGCAGCTGGGACTACAAGTGGGTGCCACTACTCCTGGCCTCCTTAACCATTTACAACTAATCCAATCCCCTTCACTGAAGGCACATGCACAGAGTGACACGGGGTCCCTCCCTCCCAGGAGGCATCCTGGTTCTGATGGCACAATCTAGGGTCCCAAAGTGCACTTTGAATTCCACTTGATCCAATGGACTACAGACTAAGATCTTAAAGTGTGCTCACTATTTGGTATGTGAGAAAGGCTCTGCGTTGGAGATGTGAGAGCCCTGGGGGCCCCAGCTGCCCAGCAAGGCCACCTGGGTGGGAGGGACAGCATGGGTCTCTCAGTGCCGAGGCAGCAAAGGGCTAGGCCATGGGGCTGTGGCAGAGGCCCAAGAGGCAAAGGAGCAATTCTCGGCCTGGGGGTTCAGTCAGGACCTAAGCAAACACCGGCTGCCATGCTGGAGCTTCCTGAGGGACAGTCAGCTGGACTTGACCACGACCTGTGCCTATGCGGCACCCAGGGAGCTCAGGCTTCGGAGCCGTCCAGTCATGAGCTGGGCAGTGGGCAGGGAGTGACAAGACAGCCTGTGTCCCAACACCTGGGACACGACTGTGCCATAGGCACCAGTGGCCCACACAGGGGTGCTATCCATGCCAGCGCGGGCAGCAAGGCCCTGTGGCCACCCTGATTGCTGTGGCAGGGGTGGGGGGGAGGGAAGAAGGAGGAGAAGAGAGGGGCGTGGGGAAAGACAGGGTACACTGGGCCTCACCTTGAGCGTGCTGTTCTTGGCGCTCAGCTGCTGCTCGAGCTGGGCAATCTGGCTGGCCGAGGTCTCGCGTAGCTTGCTGAGGCTGGCCTGCAGTCTCTGCACGTCGTCCACCAGCTGGGCGATCTCGCGCTCTTTGGCAGCCAACTCAACTTCCAGGCTAGAGCGGGTCAGCACCTCTATGGCCTGCTCCTGCGCAGGAGAGAGAAATGACCAGGCTGCCGAGGCAGGAGCCACACTGTGTGGAGGTGTGGAGGGCCAGACTCCGTGCCCTGCCCTGGCTGGGATGACCAGGATGGGCGAGCAGCGATCTGCAGGGGATGAGGAGGCGGAGAACCTTGGGGAAACGTGCTTCGGCTGGGGGAAGAGTGAGAAGGGTGGCCCAGAGTTCTGGAATGTTTTCAAAGCTCCTGGATTTTCTACCCCTGCTGGGAGTCAGTGTCTTTTAGATTCATGATTAACTTATCTGGAAGCAGCAGAGATACTTCTCAGCAAATTGATTCAGTCTGCATTTTCACAACAGAGTTCAAGGGCGTACAAGATGCCTGTGAGGCTGCCTTTGTTCAAACTCTTAGGATAACTGCATGTTGTTATTAAAACAAGAAACAAAAAACTCCACAACAAAAATCTGTCAACCCCTGAAAAAAATATGCAACATGGAGGGACGGGCATTTAAAAGGGAGAAAAGGTCAAATTATCTGCTTCACAAAGACTCATGTTGTACTTCTATCAAGTTTAAAAAGTAAACGCAAGAGTCAGGTATGGTGGCGCATGCCTATAATTCCAGCACACAGGAGAAGGAGGTAGGGTGATCTCTAGTTCCAGGCCAGCCTGAGCTACGTAGTGAAACCTTGTCTCACAAAAAAAGAAGAAACCATTTGGGGGACTCCTCGCAGGGCAGATGTGCTTCTGCGGACCTGGGGGCGGGGGACTCCCAGAGCCTCACGCCCTGATCTTGCCAGGACTGGGGAGGAAGGGTGACATTATGCCCAAGTTACGGGCCATTCCATGCACAAGACTTGTCACATTTGTGGACAGCCAGGCACCCAGGAAAATGGCTTTGCCCAGCCATCTGCTGTGGAGGGGAGGTGGGGCTGGTGCTGTAAAATGGGCCGCTCACACCTCTGCCCTGGCGGATGGGCACAGAGCCCTGGGCCCAGGTGGCCCTGCTGGCTTCCTGACCAGGCACTGCCTCTCCAGGCATCCCGCCTGGCATCCTCCACCTCCCCTCCCCCCGCCTCCCCCCCCTCCCCCCCCCCCCGTGGCTGCTGCCACGGCCCAGGCAGTTAAGAGTTGGTGGGAGAAAACTCCAGAACCATTTGACATTTCAGTGACATTTCTACTGTCTTTTATAAAATTATCCACAGGAGGACTGATAGTCTCCAACCAGACGCGTCCTCTGCCTGTCCTTCACCCCAGCGTGCAGAGCCCCCACAGGCTCTGGTGTGAGGGGGGTCCACACCAAACCCCGTCACCTCAGTGATTCTGTTTTTCCAGCATCGCCCCTGGGGCTGGCGGCCCCCAGGCAGTGTAAATGGCTGGGTGATGTGGCTGTGCCATACTGGGCGAGCTCATGTGTCAAAGGGCTCCCTGCCGGACTGGGGGGCTAGAGCCACAAACTCTGGCTCACAGAACATGTCCTTGCCTAGAAGGATGGAGATTGGATTTTCTGCAGCCTTAGGAGTGTGCTGGAGAGGCCTGCTCTGTGGCCCGAAAGACCCCATGCATGGCACTCCCGGGAGATGGCAAGGCCTGGGGAATTACGTCCCCTACCCCTTTCAGGGGAGGATAGGGGACTGGATGTAGTGGGCAAGGAAGGGGCGGCTCCTCACTCTCATAGAGCTGTGTGGGCTCCGGGCCTAGGCCTGGAGCAGGGACACCTTGTACCCAAGGCGCTCAGGCTAGGAGCCCGGGGTCCTGATAAGGACCTTAGATGCCACCGCTGGTGGCTGGGCCATCCCTGGGGTCACTTGTGGAGGGAATGGGCCTCAGCACAGGGGTGAAGATACCGCCCCCTTCCTGCTGATGCGGCAGAGCCGGGGCGGAACTCCATCTCACCTCCCTTGTGTGAACAAGGAAGGAGATGCTGAGGGCTGAGAGCTGCCAAGCAAACACCACCCTTTCGCTCCCTGAAGCAGGAGCTGGGCTGCAGACGCACTCCACTGGGGAAACACTCATTTCCTTCTGGAACATTTGGACGGCCATGGCCCAGGATGGTGCCAGATCCCCATACTGGGGCTTGAACTCAGAGCTGGGGCACTGTCCCTTAGCTTTCTCCCTCAAGGCTGGTGCCTATCACTTGAGCCGTGGAGTCTCAGGGGCTTTCCTTCCCAGGCTGGCTTTGAACCACCATCCTCAGACTGCAACTTCCTGAGTAACTAGGATCACAGGCGTGAGTCACTGGCATCTGACTGGGAATAGAGTCTCGATATGGTATCCCAGGCTGAACTTGAACTCATTATCCTCATAACTTAGCCTGCTGAGTGCTGGGATTACATGTGTGTGCCACCATGCCCAGCTGTATTTAATGTTAATTTAAAGAAAGAAAACTAGTGTCTAGCCTTACAATGGGTTCTAACATGGATGTTGTTCTAGGCTCACTGACCTAGGTCAGGGGTCTGCCCAAGCTCTGGGGACTGGTGGTCATCCCCGCGGAGCAGCCTCTCCTCATCACATAAAGCAGTAACAGCACCTTGTTTCACAGGGATTAATGGCTGCCATAGTGACAAAACTATCACAAATGAGATTTATTAATTTACTGGGTCAAAACTCAGGGTTTCAGGCCACCACATGAGCTACACCCCCAGACCTTTACCTTTTGTTTGTTTTTCTAATAGGCTGTCAGTTTGCGTGGGCTAGCCTTGGACCATGATCATCTACTTCTGTCTTCCAAGTAGCTGGCATTACAAGCTTGTGCCACCATGCCTGGCTATGGAAATGCTTAGGCCCCATTGCATTCCTCGTTGTTCCTATGTCCACTGTGAGCCAGGACACAGCAAGGCCTCCACGAACGAGCCTCTGCTCAATCAAAGGATACCTGTGGCATCAGAGGCATGGAGCCCGGGGGTGTAGAACGGCCACTCCATCCTCCCTGCAGGATGTGGGGATGCTGAGGGTGGGGGGCAATCAGGGGGGACTTAGGTCTCATCGGGTGCCAGGTCTCACTCTATATGCTTGGCTCCCAGTAATGCTCTGAATCCTTGTAAAACGCCCCTTGCCCCAATTACGGTATGAAGGGTTTGAACCCAAGACCTCTGCCACCCAAGCCAGACCTCCAGCTCTTTTGGCTTTATTTTCCAGAGAAGGTCTCCTGATTTTGCCCAGGGCGGTCTCCTCCTGCCTCTGCCTCCTAAGTAGTTGGGATTACAGGCATGAGTCACTGTGTCTCAGATAGATAGAGTCAAGGACTCCAGAAGTTAAGCTGTTTGCTTCAAATGCCCGCCTGAGACTACAGAGCTGGGTGTGAGCCTAAAGGCTAGGATCCAATGGGTGTGAGCGTAAAGGCTAGGATCCAGGGTCCAGGGCCCAGGGTGTGGGTCCCTGCGGTGCTCCAAGCAGCCCATGGAGTAGGGCAGGAGCCGTGGGCTGCGGGTGGTGTTTGTGGGCCTCGTGCCTCACACTTCTGGGACGGGACAGTCTGCTATTTTATGACCTTGTGGACTGCTCCCCGCGGAGATGGATGTGGGCCCTCTGCCTCCCCATGGGACGATGGGAAAGCTCCATGGCAAGGGTCACCCCTTGCTCGTCTGGGAGGGCCCTCTGCAATTGTGGACTCCCAAGCCTGGCAGGGAGTTGGAGGGAGTTGGGGGTGGTGGTTACAGGGCCTGGAAGGCAGGGGCCGCAGGCTAGGCCAGCAGGGGCTATTTGTGCCGGGCAGGGGGTACACATGGCGGGGTGGAGGGGGGGCCAGCTACGCACCACATCCGGGGCCTTCTGGATCTGCGAGGCCAGCTGGAGGGAGTGGTTGGCCGAGGAGAGCTGCTCCCTCAGGGTCTCTGCCTCTCTCTGCGCCACCTCTGCCCTCTGAGGAACAAGGCACAGGGTGAAGGGAAGAAAAGAACATTGGGCTTAACAAGTGACAATTATTACTAGAACATTCATCAATTCATGCCTCACTGACTGTAATTGATTTTCCTAAACACTCAAGCTAATAAATGCTCGGGGAAAAAAAAAAACATACAATGTGATGGATTTTTATTTTAAACAGTACAAGGAAGAAATAATTGAGCGATTATGACAGTAATTTAACGCTAGGAGTGAGGGATCCCCTGCTGATACTAGCGCTCCGGCCCACTGAATTTCCCAGACTGAATAAATACAGTGGGAACTGAGTCTTCTGATTCAATTTCCTCCGATTCTTACGGACCAAGGAGGTTTTATTGCAGCCTCACTCCTGGGACCGATTCTCACGGGCACGGCGGGAATTGAAGGCACACTGGCCCTTCTCTCCCCAAGCAGGCACAATGTTGTGGTTGTTTTCCTCCCAGACCATTTCCATAAGTGCGTGGGTATAAATGCCACTCCTTTTGTACGGGCCAGCCTTGTTTCTGCCTATTTAACCCTTCACCGGGTGAAGTGTTCCAACGGTGGGACACTGGTGTGGCCAGCCAGATGGGATGGGCTGGAGCCCAAGGCATGTGGGTAGCCCTAGCCAGCGCTGGGGTCTGTGAGCTCAACGGCCTAGGAAGCCAGGGCACCTGCAAAGCCAGGCTCCCCCCTGGAGGGCAGCAGCTTCGGGAGGCCTGGCAGGGATCCAGAGCCCACACCAGTGCTCAACGAGTCTCCATCATCCCACCTGCAGAATGGGCCTGCACGCCACACCAGCTCTAAGACAGATGGGAATGGCAGCTGGTGGCAAGGACACATGGACAGAACGAAGTGGCAGTCTGCGGCGCTGCGAGGGACAGTCACTCCCAGAAAGGAGGAATGGGGAAATTGGGCTGAGCCATGCGGCTCTGGGACTCACAGAGGTTAGTCTGGGTCACAAGAGGTTAGTCTGCCCTGGGCCTCACTGACCGAGCCCAGTGGAAGACAAAGGGTTTGGTGGCCTTGAGGCCCTGGCACAATCAGACTCTTGCTAAGGGCAATTATGTCTGCCCAGAACAGGCCAGGGTAGGGCAGTGACCACCTGCCTTGCTTCCCAGAGAGCTCCTGGAACAGCCCCAACTCAACCCACAGGGTGCTGGCTGACTCCTGCTCCACGCAGAATCTAGAACCAGTCGTCACATGACTGGTATGGTGAGGGAAATATCTGGTTTAAGTGAGCAACTCGTGTGTGTGTGTGTGTGTGTGTGTGTGTGTGTGTGTGTGTGTGTGTGTGTGTGTGTGTGTGTGTGTGTGTGTGTGTGTGTGTGTGTGTGTGTACTGGAACTTGAACTCAGGGCCAGGGCACACTGTACCTTAGCTTTTCTTTCTTTCTCCCACTTGAGGCACACAGTTCCACTTCCAGTATTTTGGTGATTAATGGGAGTTAAGAGTCTCACAGACTTTCCTGCCTGGGCTGGCTTTGAGCCCCCATCCTCAGATGTCAGCCTCCTGAGTGGCTAGGATTACAGGCATGAGCCACTGGTGCACAGCTACTGTTCAACTACTGAGGCTATGAACCAAGTTCCTCTTTAATAAATAAGCTTTTCCCCTAGCTGTTCTGATCACGGACAGCAAAACAGACAGGGCTGCTCTTGGTGCCCAGTGTGGTGGCGCTCACCTGTAACACCTGTGCTCGGGAGGCAGAGGTAGAAGAGCAAAGAGTTTCAGGCCAGTTATACAGTGAGACCCTGGTTCCACAAAACAAAACACACAGAGTGTGTGCACAGGCTGCTCTTGGCCTGTCCCTTGTCTATTTGGGGTTTACACCCTGAGGGTTTGTATGAGAAGTTAAACAGGCACACCAGAAGAATAAAACAATAAAAATATAGCAGCCCAGGGAGCAAGCAGGGGTGGGGCTTGGGTTGACTGGCAGCCGGAGTGAGGAACTGGTTTCTAGTTCAGATCACTAAATTTAGCATCGTGGGCAGAGGGCCCAGGCCACCTGTTCAGAGACTCTCCCCCTCCCTGGCCCAGGACCACAGTGCGCCTGGGGACTGTCTGTGAAGGTCAGGGGAGAGGGCTTGCCAAGTAAGCTTGAGGCTCTGAGTTCAGTTCCCAGCACCCCCACCCCCTAACAAGAATGAAAAAAAGGGGCTGGGAATGTGGCTCAGTGGTAGAGTGCTTGCCTAGTATGCATGAAGCCCTGGGTTCGAATCCTCAGTACCACATAAACAGAAAAAGCCAGAAGTGGTGCTGTGGCTCAAGTGGTATTGAGGCTTGAACTCAGGGCCTGGGCACGGTACCTTTGTGCTAGCCTTGAGCAAAAGAAGCTTAGGGACAGTGCCCAGGCCCAGAGTTCAAGCCCCAGGACTAGGACACAAAAAAAAGAAAGGATGAAAAATGATCCAACCCCAGACACAGAGCCGGGGTCCTGCAGAGGCAAGGCCAGAGGGCATGCCCACCTTCCACGGCAGCCCTGGACCAAAGCCAGCGGTTAAGAGCACAGCTGGCCTAAACAACTTGCTTTGGGCCAAGCCTGGCATGGTACAAAGCCACTGGCCTGCTCTGGATGCAGGCTGGGGTGCCGGGCAGGGCGTGGCAGCAGCTGGCTCACGCTGGGGACCCCCACGCAGGGCTGGGGTGCACTTTGGAATGCTGAGCTGTGGCTATGTCTGCCAAGAAGCCTCAGCGATGGTTGCCGGGGAGGATGGAAACATGAGGAGTGCCACGGGGTGGAACACGCAGGTGTCAGGAGACCGGGACCTGCTCTTCCCTGTCCTCAGCACCAACACCAAGCGGCCGGCCTCTTTAGGACATCTGACTATGAGCCCTGGGCGAAAATCACATTATATACCAATGAACTAGCTCCAACGAGGTGGGGCCGGTCCCGATGCACTGTGCCCGCAGTGTGGTGGCTGTCACAGGGCCTGGCCCTGCCCTGCTCAGCCCAGCCTGTGCCTCGCCTCCCCAGGATGGACTCTTGCACTGTCTGCATAGCTGCCCACAGCTCCCAGGATGGCTTCAGCTCTGTCCATCTCCTTCCGTCCCCCAAGGCTGAGGCAGGGTGACCCCCGCTAGCCCAGCCGCTGGGAGCTCCACTCCAGGTTCCAGGCAGAGGGCAATGCCAACACCCCTGCCTTTCCCTTCTGTTTCTACTTCTCCTCCTCCCGACTGCCCTGGAACTTTATCCTTGCAACACCTGGGGCTACAGCTTCCCTATTTCCATTCTCTCTCTGTCTCTCTCCTGCTATACTAGGGATTGAACCCAGAGCCTCCTGCTTGTGGGCAAATGCTGTGTACCATTTGAGCTACACCCCCAGATCACCACTTTTACTCGTTTATTTAGGGTAGGTACTAGGGCTTGAACCCAGGGCCAGGGTGCTCTCCCTTAGCTTTTTAGCTCAAGACTAGTGAGTGTCTTGGTTTGTTGGAGATAAGTGTCTCATGGACTTCCCTGCCCAAGCTGGCTTTGAACCATGATCCTGAGATCTCAGCCTTAGGAGTAGCCTGGATAACAGGCGGAAGCCATTAGGACCTGGCTGTATTTTTTTTTAAGACAGGGCACACCCCTGCTGGCCTCTATTTTTCAATTCTCTTTCCTCTGGGTCCCAGGTAGCCAGGGTTACAGGCATGTGCCACCATACCCGCCCGGACATCTGTCTGTTTTCTGACATATCCTGGTTGCTAGAGCTACCCCCGCGACCTCAGCCGGTTGTAGGCTGTCTCTCCAAGGGCCCTGTGAGAGCAGGTTCAGGATCCCAGCATGGATCTGTACTCCCAGTACTGCGCCTGCCAAGTTCTCCCCAGGGAGGAGGTGAAGCCCATGTCATAATCAATCATCCCATCACACGCTGACTTTCTGACTTAGGCGTGGAGTTGATTTCACTGGGCAAGGAGAGGACAGATGCCCCCACTGAGCACAGGCCCAGGTCCTCGTGAGGGGTGCTCACCCGAGGGTGGGAGCCTGTGGAGTGCTCGAGGCCACCCAACACTTCCCAGTGCCCGTGACCACCCAGCTACAGAGCTGCGAGGCAGAGTCTCACCTGGTTGGCTCTCTCCAGGTCGGTGGTGATCATCTCGATCTCGTCGGCTCTGGGAAGGAGAGAGGAAGGGTGGGTTTAGTCAGCAACCAGGCAGGTGCTGGGGATGGGAGGTGGGGAGGGGGCCCAGCGTGGGGTGAGAAGCAGGGGGCAGGCATCCTGCGGGCCTCATCCACTCCTGATATCCATGTTTCTGGGAAGTGGGGGACCCCTGGAAGGTCCCCCAGTCTTGCTGGGGACACAGAGCCAAAACCAGATAAAACCCTCCCTTTCCAAGGGGTGTGCAGGCAGAGCTCTGAGCTGGAGTTCTGGAAAAACAGAGTGGGGAGGGCTGGGAAGGTGGCTCAGTGGTAGAGCGCTTGCCTTGCATGCATGAGGCCCTGGGTTCGATTCCTCAGCACCACATAAGCAAAAAGAAAAAAAAGCTGGAAGTGGTGCTGTGGCTCAAGTGGTAGAGCGCTAGCCTTGAGCTGAAGAGTTGAGGGACAGCGCCCAGCCCCAGAATTCAGGCCCCATGACCGGAACAAACAAAACAAAACAAAGCAAAACAAAAACAAAACAGAGTGGGTAGAGGTGAATTCTCCCAAGGGGATGGTGTCACCCAAGGCTTCAGAAGTGAGGAGCAAGTTGTTTGGGTTTTAAAGGATAAGTAGGAGTTTGTCAGGAGGAGAAGAGGAGAAGCCAGGGAAAGGCTTTTCTGGGACACCCAAGGCTTCAGAAGTGAGGAGCAAGTTGTTTGGGTTTTAAAGGATAAGTAGGAGTTTGTCAGGAGGAGAAGAGGAGAAGCCAGGGAAAGGCTTTTCTGGGACACAGGCAAGTAGGAGCAAATAGTTGGTTTGGGGTGGGGGGCAGTAGGGATGGAGACGAGGGCTGGGGGGCTCTGCGTGTGAACCCCTGGGGTCCAGACCTCTGGCTTGTCCCTACCAGTGGCTTTTCTGGTCCTACTGATTTTCTGGCCCCCACTTCCAAGAGCGACGGCAGATACACTGACCCAAGGTCCACCACCATGAGAGTAGACAGCACTTCTGCCCAGATGGGCGGTCAGTCCTGAAGCCCACTGCGGGCTGGGCCAGGGCACAGCCAAGGCTGGTGGCCATCCAGGAAGATTCTAGCATGCCCACAGGAGATGGAGCAGAGGGACAGCCACCGTGGTCCTAGCGGGGGCACAAGGCCTGCCCCGTGGCTCCTGCTATCCCCTTAGTCAATGCCTGCTCGGTGGCGTGCACAGCTCAGCCCCTCTGTGCTGAGTGCTGAGGCTGCCTTGTCCCCCGGTGCCCCTCGCAGGGCTTTCCGTTCGTGTGTGTGTGTGTGTGTGTGTGTGTGTGTGTGTGTGAGTGAGAGAGGGAGAGAGAGAGACAGAGAGAGAGAGAGAGAGAGAGAGAGAGAAGGGGAGGGAGAGGGAGGGAGGGAGGGAGAGGGAGAGAGAGAGAGAGAAGGGGAGGGAGAGGGAGGGAGGGAGGGAGAGGGAGAGAGAGAGAGAGAGCGAGAGAGAGCGCGTGTACATGCAAGTGTACTGGGGCCTGAACTCAGGGCCAGGGTGCTGTCCCTGAGCTTTTGTGCTCAAGGCTGGCGTTCTAACACTAGAGTCACAGCCCCATTTTTGGCTTATTGTTGGTTAATTGGAGGTAAAAGTCATACCGACTTTCCTGACTCTTTAGTGCTCTTTAGCTTTCCCTGCTGCCTTCTAGAGGGCTCTGTAACTGGATCTACCTTGCCTGCGGCCATACCCACCCTGCCCCTTTTCTATCTCGCCCCTCGGTTGTTCTGTGCCTGAGCCTGCGCTAGTGTGGCTCTAAGCCTCTATCAGGTTTCCCTCATTCTCGGCTCCATTTGTCTGTCTCTTTGGCCCATTCCAGCCTGGGGTTTGAGTTCCGCTGTTCTGCAGTATGCTCACAGGGCAGAGGAGCAAGCCCTACTGTGTGTCTGGGCTGAGGAAAGGCACTCAGTAGGTACTGGGCACTTTTCCCCAGGCCCCGTCTGCATGGGCACTAAAGGGGCAGAGCTCAGCTGCAGCAGAGCCTTCAGTGCTCAGGGTGAACGTGGGAGGCTCCGGGGCACAGGTCCTGACCCTTGGTTGGGTGGTGCCCCCCCAGCTGCCCTCACCCACAATCAGCATGAGGCCTCGTGGGGTGACAAGTGGCACAGATCCCAGTCCGGGCCTTGGGTGGGCTGGCGAGCCTCCTTGCCATGCACTCTAGAAATCATCTTCCATCATCACTTTCTTCCTCCTCTTTTTTTTTGGTGGTGCTGGGATTTGAACCCAGGGCCTTGCACTTGAGCTCTACCACTTGAACCACAACCCCATAACTGTTTTGCTTTCGTTAGTTTCTGGATAGACTTGTGCTTTTCACCTGGGGTTCAGCCTTAGATTTTGGTCTTCCTATCTTTGGCCTCCTCTGTAGCTGGGAGCACAGGTGTGGGCCTCCATATCCAACTTGTTTGTTGGGATGGTCTTGCTACGTTTTGCCCAGATTGCCCACAAACAGCTGGGACCAAAGGCATGTGCTTCCCTGGATGTCTTCACAGATGGTGATTGGCTCTGGAGAGTTATTACTATCTAGAATGCAATGCCTTGTCTTCAAAAGATGTCAAGTCACATGTACAAAATTAGTCACATTTAAAGAGCAATCTGTCTGGAGCAATCTCTGGAAAGTGAGTCTCATGGTACCATGGCAGTTCAGGTGAACGCTGGTTCCTAAGCAACCAGAGAACTGGCCAAAATATTGTATGTGATAATGCTGTGGCCCTGGCTCCCACTGCCAGGCTACCGCCCGATCAGCTTCGTGGAAGGACAACGTGGACTCCACCCCGGGGCCCTGCTAACCCGTGGGCCCTGAGGCGTTTGTGGCAGGACCAGGATCCACTGAGACAGTGGCGGGAACCAGGGATGCTGAAAAGTTTGGATGATTATTTAAAAATTCTGTGAGCTCAGGCTGAGGGAGTGTGGCTCAAGCTCTGCAGAGTGCTTGGCTAGCACGCACACTCTGGGTTCACTCCCAAGACTGACAAAACACAAAGTCCGTAGGTTTGTCACCATTTTTTCTTTACTAGGAGCTTTTGGTCAGACACTGGTGTCTCATGCGTGTAATCCTAGCTACAAGGAGGCTGAGATCTGAGGATATTAGTTCAAAGCCAGCTAGGGTAGAAAAGTCCATAGGACTTTCATCTCCATTAGCAAAAAGCTAGAAGTGGAGACATGACTCAAGTGGTAAAGTGCCACTTGTTCCCCAGGCAGTGATGAGTTAACAGGCCTGCGCTTTCCTGCTATGAACCTCTTTTCTTTTTTCTCCTCCCCCTCCTTATTTTTTCTGGCTGCCTTCTTGAACTCAGGGCCTATCCCTTAGCTTTTTCCCTCAAGGCTGGTGCTCTACCACTTCAGCCACAGCTCCACTTCTAGGTTTTTGGTAGCTATTCAGAGGTAAGTGTCTCATGGACTTTCTTGCCCAGACTTGCTTCAAACTGCTGTCTTCAGATCTCAGCCTCCTGAGTAGCTGGGATTACAGGTGTGAGCCATGGTACCTGGCTGATTTCTCCTTTCTATTCTGAAGGCTCTGCTCCCACTCCGGGCCTCTGGGGCCTGGCCTCGGTGTGTGATCATTTATTTCCTGGAGTTGGTAATCACTGCACATACTGTTTGCTCGGCAGAAGGATTTATTATAAAAATCCAGCTGCCGACAACACAGCTTCCAGTGATCTATTAACCCGCGCTGCAGTGCTCTGTGCTTGGTGCCGGTTCCAAGCAGCAGCCTGGGGCACATCGGGCATTGTCCCTCTCCCTGCAGGCTGTTCCAGTGTTCTCTGGGCTCACACACAGTGGAGGAGCCTCAAAGGACACGTGAAGGTTGATGGAAAGGAAATCGAATTTACGCTGGAAACACCATTTCCTTTTACGTGGGTGAGGCTAGTTAGCATCTCAACCCCCGATAATAATCACAGCCACCAGGAGTGGCTAAGCCCTCTGCCTCCTTCACACCTGTGGGCTCCACAGGCGCTCTGGTGACCAAAAGTATTCAGGAGGAAGTTCACCTGCACTGAATGTGCCCACACTCACTGTTGGGTGTCTATTCCCTCAATAATACATGCAACGACTCTTCACACAGCACTGACTCACGCAAGAGATTAAAGTCAGCCAGAGCCAGGCGCGGGTGGTCCACGCCTGTCCTCCTACTCAGGAGGCTGAGACCTGAGGATTGTGGTTCGAAGCCAGACAGGGCAAGGAAAGTCCATGAGACTTTAATCTCCAGTTAACTGCCAAACAGCTAGAAGTAGAGCTGTGGCTCAAATGATATTATATCAGACTTGGGTGAGCAAACAGACAAACAAATAAATCCAGGAATAGGGCCCAGGCCCTGAGTTCTATAAAGTGGTTTTGACCAAGAAGTACTAGCTACAATCTGATCTAGCCCCTGCATTCAGCTTACACATTCACAGGAGTGCGAGAGGGTGAGGGGTGGAGGGGCGTGAGAACAAGGCCTGAAGATACAATGGGTTATTCCAGATGTGGGCAGATAACTATGTTTCTTGAACACATAGACCACAAGGAAAACAACAAGAGATGGAGCTCCAGGAGCGAGCATGTGTAAGGCCTACCTGACTGTGAGGCATGGGTCCTGCAGGACATCTGATCCTAACAGGTGTTTAGAGGCCACTTGGAATCAGCACGAATGGGAATAGCTAATCATATTTAGAATGTGGGATGTGCCCATAGAATTGTGGGGTACTGAACAGAGTCCTCACTGTAGGACTCCGCACGTGCACGCGTGTGCACTGAGATGCTCAGAAGTGCATCCCAGGACTCGGGGGGTGGGAGGAGGAGAACTGGGTGGCTGGCGAGACCACGGACAGGACAGGTGCTGCACGGTGGGTGGCCCGGTCTGAACCTGGCCCACTTTCGGAGGCTGGGAATGTAACAGAAACCAAGAAACCATGGAGAGTGGAGGCCATCAGGCGTTCTGAGTCCTCTCCTGCTGGCCTCAGGCGTGAGTGATCTTGTGTGTCGGGGGCCGGCCACGGCACCACTCGGGCAGGCACCGCTGTGGGCTGTGGGAAAGA